TATGGAACATGTGTGTATGTGTGTGTGTGTGTGTGTGTGTGTGTGTGTGTGTGTGTGTGTGTGTGTGTGTGTGTGTGTGTGTGTGTGTGTGTGTGTGTGTGTATGTGTGTGTGTGTGTATGTGTGTGTGTATGTGTGTGTGTGTGTGTGTGTGTATGTATGTGTGTGTGTGTGTATGTGTGTGTACTCACCTAGTTTCTCACCTAGTTGGGGTTGCGGGGTCGAGTCCGAGCTCCTGGCCCCGCCTCTTCACTGATCGCTACTAGGTCACTCTCCTGAGCCGTGAGCTTTATCATACCTCTGCTTAAAGCTATGTATGGATCCTGCCTCCACTACATCGCTTCCCAAACTATTCCACTTACGGACTACTCTCTGGCTGAAGAAATACTTCCTAACATCCCTGTGATTCATCTGTGTCTTCAGCTTCCAACTGTGTCCCCTTGTTACTGTGTCCAATCTCTGGAACATCCTGTCTTTGTCCACCTTGTCAATTCCTCTCAGTATTTTGTATGTCGTTATTCATGTCCCCCCTATCTCTCCTGTCCTCCAGTGTCGTCAGGTTGATTTCCTTAACCTCTCCTCGTAGGACATACCTCTTAGCTCTGGGACTAGTCTTGTTGCAAACCTTTGCACTTTCTCTAGTTTCTTCACGTGCTTGGCTAGGTGTGGGTTCCAAACTGGTGCCGCATACTCCAATATGGGCCTAACATACACGGTGTACAGGGTCCTGAATGATTCCTTATTAAGATGTCGGAATGCTGTTCTGAGGTTTGCTAGGCGCCCATATGCTGCAGCAGTTATTTGGTTGATGTGCGCTTCAGGAGATGTGCCTGGTGTTATACTCACCCCAAGATCTTTTTCCTTGAGTGAGGTTTGTAGTCTCTGACCCCCTAGACTGTACTCCGTCTGCGGCCTTCTTTGCCCTTCCCCAATCTTCATGACTTTGCACTTGGTGGGATTGAACTCCAGGAGCCAATTTCTGGACCAAGTCTGCAGCCTGTCCAGATCCTTTTGTAGTTCTGCCTGGTCTTCGATAGAGTGAATTCTTCTCATCAACTTCACGTCATCTGCAAACAGGGACACCTCAGAGTCTATTCCTTCCGTCATGTCGTTCACAAATACCAGAAACAGCACTGGTCCTAGGAGTGACCCCTGCGGGACCCCGCTGGTCACAGGTGCCCACTCTGACACCTCGCCACGTACCATGACTCGCTGCTGTCTTCCTGACAAGTATTCCCTGATCCATTGTAGTGCCTTCCCTGTTATCCCTGCTTGGTCCTCCAGTTTTTGCACCAATCTCTTGTGTGGAACTGTGTCAAACGCCTTCTTGCAGTCCAAGAAAATGCAATCCACCCACCCCTCTCTCTCTTGTCTTACTGCTGTCACCATGTCATAGAACTCCAGTAGGTTTGTGACACAGGATTTCCCGTCCCTGAAACCATGTTGGCTGCTGTTGATGTGATGTGTGTGTGTGTATGTGTGTGTGTGTGTGTGTGTGTGTGTGTGTGTGTGTGTGTGTGTGTGTGTGTGTGGTGTGTGTGTGTGTGTGTATTGTGTGTGTGTGTGTGTGTGTGTGTGTGTGTGTGTGTGTGTGTGTGTGTGTGTGTGTGTGTGTGTGTGTGTGTGTGTGTGTGTGTGTGTGTGTGCAGGGACAAGTCACAAGTAATATATGTTATTAGGGCAGTAAATGACAACCTCGCCCGCCTCCCTTCTAGGGCCACAAACACCTGCCGGGCAAATGCCAACAACAGGACACCTGATGCCTCAAAAATCAGAGCCCATATTAGCAAAAATATAGAAGAGGGTAATATTACTGGAGAACTGAGGCTTATAGCCAGTGAAGATACCATCGCTCCTAAGGACGTCAGTACAGCACAAGCCCTGAAGGACAAACATCCACCCAAGGCTCCTAGTACCAATATTGACCTTCCTGACATTTGCAAAAGGTGAAGAACATTTAACCCTACAGGACGCTGATGTGTATAAAGCTGCTATGTCATTTCCAAAGGGCTGAACAGGAAATTTCATCGGTTTAAGGCCACAACACTCAAATGCTCAGTCCAGCACTTGGTGATGTTTCAGAGTGGTTACTGTCTGAACTCACCAAATTTTCCAATGTGTGCCTGGCTGGTAGTGTCCCAGAGGCCATTAGATCCCTTTTCTTTGGTGCCTCGCCTTGTGCCCTCCGGGAAAAAATGGAGGAATCAGGCCCATTGTAGTAAGCAACACCTTTTGACGCCTTGTTGTCAAGGCTGCAGTAAGAATGGTGAGTCAAGAGGCTGCCTCAATGTTGAAACCAACTCAGCTCGGTTTTGGTGTTCAACAAGGCTGTGAAGCAGCTGCCCACGCTGCACGGGTATACATCAACAATATGTTAGATGAAAAAAACTTGATCAAATTGGACTTTGCCAACGCTTTCAACTTAGTCAGAAGGGATGCTGCTCTCCAAGCAGTTTCTAAACACTTCCCTTCCCTCTATTCCTTCATAGAATCATGTTATAGTGTGGCTTCTAAACTATTGTTTGAGGACCATGAGATTGACTCATGTGAGGGTGTGCATCAGGGGGACCCTCTCGTCCCCTTCCTTTTCTGTCTGGTCATCAAGGAAATCACAGAAGCGCTCTCCAGTGAGCTCAGTATCTGGTTCTTGGATGATGGTACATTAGGTTGCACTACAGAATCTCTCCTAGAGGACATCAGAAAAATTAAAAACATGGGGGAGAGCCTGGGCCTAGCTTTAAACTCTACCAAATGTGAAATAGTTTCTTTCAATCTACAGATAATCCACAGATGCTGTTTTACCAGGAGCACAAGCCAAAAGCACTCTCCTTTGTGCTCCTTTTGGGCCCAGTGCCATTGATCAGGACGATGGAAGGCAGGATGAAAGACATCGATACACGTGATGCGTTCTACCTACTCACCAGGAGCCTGCCAATCCCAAAACTTACGTACTTCCTGAGATGCTCCCCAGCCTTCAGCAGTCCGATACTCAAGGAATATGACTCCCTTCTTAAGACCATGCTAGAGAGTGCATTGAATCTTTCCTTTGAAGATGGACAGTGGTTGCAAGCCTCACTTCCAGTCAGGCTTGGGGGGCTGCGAGTATGCAAATCCTCCCAGATTTCCCTACCAGCTTTCCTATCCTCTTCCATAGCATCAAACGAGTTAATAAAACAACTTCTTCCAGACAACCTTAGTAATTCAGCAGTAATACAGGACTCTAGCTACACCAGTGCCATCACTGAATGGGAGACTCTCGTTGCTCCAGCACCAAAACCTAGTGCAGCACTGGCCTACAAACAGTCATGCTGGGATGGCCCCATTGCTGAAAAGGTGCTTGCCAACATGCTTAGAGCTGTAACATCAGACAGGGAGCCTGCCCATCTCCAAGATGTGAGTGCACATCACTCTGGGGACTTCCTCCAAACAGTTCCAATTTCGGCAATATGAACACGCCTCGACCCTAAGACCCTCTGTATTGCAGTGGCTCTCCGCCATGCTGCCCCCAATTCACAAGGAATATACGTGTATTTGCGGCGATGAGCAAGCTGACCAGTATAGACTACATGGTCTTAACTGTTCCAAAACCAAAGGACTGGCATGAAGGACACAATGAAGTCAATGACATCATAAAGAGAACCCTTGCTACAGCTAGATGCCCAGCCGAGAGGGAGCCCCGATCACTAGCAGCCAACAATACCCACAACCCAGCAAATCGCCCCGATGGGATCACCATCTATCCTTGGAAGAATGGCAAGCTCTTAGTATGGGATTATTACCTGTGTGTCCACACTGGCTGACACCTACATTCATCATAATGTTGGGCGACAGGGAGGAGCTGCTGACTACAGGGAGGAGTACAAGATCGGCAAGTACAGGGACATAAGCCAACAGTATTAAATTGCCCCAGTAGGATCAGAGACCTTGGGATAATGGGGAAAAATGCCACACGTTTCCTTAAAGAACTAGGTTCCAGGCTCATCGACACCACCAGGGACCCAAGGGCAGCCACTTTCATGTTCCAGCGCCTCACCATGGCCATCCAGAGGGAATATGTATGCTGCATACTGGGCTCGCGTCCGACGTCGGAGAAGCTGGAGGAGATTCATAAATTTTGATATATTGTACCAATGTATTCATGTTTGTGTTTTCTGTCAATGTATTCTGTCTGTTAATAAAGTTCACATAGAGTATAGAATATAAGGGGTTGCAGGAGAAGAAAATATTAATACAATCCGGTGATCCAGTGAGAACCTTGAGTTTTCCCTAAGGTACGTTTATTCTCTTCTCTGAGGATGAGGGTCCCCAGTCAAGTTCTAGAGGTGGTTCCTCCCTACTGATATATATATATATATCGTATCTAATTATCAGAACTTGTCAAACAAACCTAAATAAACTATTTAAACAAGGATATGGTTTACATCTATATTCTCGGGCATTAGGCATAAAACATTATCAACATATCTGTACCGCTTAGCTCTATTGGGAAGAATATTGCTATGAATCCTTGTTTCAAAACATTCCCAGTACAAATTATTAAAGACATTTGCTGCCCAGAGTTCACAGATGAAGAAATCATGAAGATTCACGAAATTACCTAGAGTATACCTGGAGAGGATTTTGGGGGGTCAACGCCCCCGTGGCCTGGTCTGTGACCCAAAATTGCTAGAAATATATTTTATTTTTCAACTAAGGACAAACAATCACATTCAACCATGAATATGTTGGTTCTTCCTTACTAAGAAAACCTTGATATATCTTATCTACCTATGAACTTAAAATCACAGTTGTATTTAAAAATCTTGATACAGTAAAAAAAATAATCTGGTTATAATTAGATTTGATTTTAAAATGATTAATATAATTTCTTAAAATTAAAATATTATTAATTAAATCATAATTAACTATATTTTTATTAATTTACTTGTAATTGACTTACCTCTTCTCGTTCATTTAATTCCTGCCATTAATTTTTTAATTTAGCAATAATTTGTACGTCAGTTTGCAGGTGAATGGTATGTGTTGGAGTCAGTGTTAACCAGCAGCTCCTGCGTAAGACTGGTGTTCAACCGTACTCAGGAAGGCTTCACGATGCAACACTTTAGAGAGCTGTTTATAGCTCAGGTTGTCGGCTTCAACCACGTCTTCAGAACCACCGGTATCCTGCGACTCATCAAAGGCACAGCCAGGATGATCATGATTATGATATACAGTAAGTAGTGTGAAGTTTGGGTTGGTCATGGATTATTGCTGGATTGGCCTGGTTAGTCATGGAGTAGCTGGGTTTGTTTTGGCTAGAGTATTGGAGTTTATGGGTTTATCATGGAGTGAATACTGAAACACCTTCGTTTATGGAGTGAGTGCTGTAATGAATGGGTTGGCCATGGAGTTGTACGTTTGGGCTCGTGAGGTTAGTGTGAGGTTAGCTGAGATGGACAGGGAGTGAGTACTGATATAACCGGGTTGGTCGTGACGTGAGCACTGGAATGGATAAGGAGTGACTGGATAGGTTATGGAGTCAGTAGGAGTGGTTACTATTGTTATGTATTGAGTATGGAAGTGGCTGGGTTGATTATCAAGCGGGTGTGAGAGTGGCTTGGATGTTTATGGAATGTAGGAGTTGCAGGAATGGTTATGGAGTGAGTGTGGAAGTGACAAGGATGGTTATGGAGTGAGTGTGGAAGTGACAAGGATGGTTATGGAGTGAGTGTGGAAGTGACAAGGATGGTTAAGAAGTGAGTGTGGGAGTGACAAGGATGGTTATGGAGCGAGTGTTGGAGTGACAGGGATGGTTATGGAGTGAGTTTTGGAGTGACAAGGTTGGTTATGGAGCAAGTGTGGAAGTGACAAGGATAGTTATGGAGTGAGCTTTGGAGTGACAGGGATGGTTATGGAGTGAGTTTTGGAGTGACAAGCATAGTTATGGAGTGAGTTTTGGAGTGACAGGGGTGGTTATGGAGTGTTGGAGTGACAGGGATGGTTATATAACATGTGTGGGTGTGACAAGGATGGTTATGGAGTGAGTTTTGGAGTGACAGGGATGGTTATGGAGTGTTGGAGTGACAGGGATGGTTATATAACAAGTGTGGGTGTGACAGGGATGGTTATGGAGTGAGTTTTGGAGTGGCAAGGATGGTTATGGAGTGATTTTTGGAGTGACAGGGATGGTTATGGAGTGAGTTTTGGAGTGACAAGGATGGTTATGGAGTGATTTTTGGAGTGACAGGGATGGTTATGGAGTGAGTTTTGGAGTGACAAGGATGGTTATGGAGTGATTTTTGGAGTGACAGGGATGGTTATGGAGTGAGTTTTGGAGTGACAAGGATGGTTATGGAGTGTTGGAGTGACAGGGATGGTTATGGAGTGTTGGAGTGACAGGGATGGTTATATAACAAGTGTGGGAGTGACAAGGATGGTTATGGAGTGAGTTTTGGAGTGACAAGGATAGTTATGGAGTGAGTGTGAGAGCGACAGGGATGTTATGGAGTGAGTGTGGGAGTGACAAGGATGGTTATGGAGTGAGTGTGGGAGTGACAAGGATGGTTATGGAGTGAGTGTGGGAGTGACAAGGATGGTTATGGAGTGAGTGTGGGAGTGACAGGGATGTGATGAATGGTTTGAAAAACCGACAAGTTGAAGATTGAGACACTTATGCAACATATGGGAATCTTTATTCAGGAAACATTTCGCCACACAGTGGCTTCATCAGTCCAATACAAAGTAGAAAGGCGTAAGGAGAGGAGGAGTTTGAGGTAATCAGTCCCTCAGCCTGGAGTCGATGTGTTTGATCCATCAATCTTGTAGAATGTACAGCATAGGGCCATAGACGTGGCTTATATACTGTAGTGAGGTGAGGCAAAGCAGGAGGAGGTGGGGCCATAGTGGTATCATCCACTAGTCGAAGTAGGTCTTCGTCCAAAGGTTGGACAAGTGTTGAAGAATTCTTTGTAACAAGATCCCATGATGCTGCACTGCAGCATCATGGCTAGCGAATCGGTCTGAAAGAATGAATGAAAGGTAAGGCCCCAATGGGGTGAGCGGGGAAGATGGGACAGGCGACGATAGTGGTGGAGAGGGGTGTTTTTAGTCGTAGAAATAGATCCATGACTTAACCCAGTAGCTAAGGAGATCGTGGGACAGACTTACGAAACAGGAATAACAGGCTGAGTTGCGTTGGTTTTGTTGGATGTCAGAAGACGTGACAAGCTGTCAGCAGGTTAGTCGCAGGTCAGGGCAGGCAGGGAAGACCATCAGAGGGCCCATACTGGTGGTGTTGTTAGACGAGATTGGGGTGGCAGGTTTGTAGGAGATCCATTCTCAAATCTCTTGCAGTTGCTTCTAGAGAGGTGGTAAAGATTTGCCTTGTTTCCAAAGGTGTAACGAAGAGGCTTGAGGAATTGCAGAACTTGGGTGAGAGTGAAGTGATGAGGTTGTTTGCAGAAGAACTTGACAGTTTCTGCACCGAGGCCTATCTAGAGTTTAATGCAGGTCATGGTGTCGGCATTTGATGGTGCAGTGTAAAATGTAAGATTTTTCCAAGTTAGTGTGGTAGAGTCGTCAATATCGTCTTCTTCTTCAGACATGTACTCATTATCTTGGTATTAGCAGATGTCTGAGGGTCGACATGATCAGTGGAGAGGTGTACTGGTGATGTAGCATCAGGCTGGGAGGCAGTGGTAGAGGCAGCTAGATCGGTGGTGTGGGAGGCTGTGGAAGGTATAGGAACAGCTGCTTGGGCAGTAGGAGACAGGTCGGCAGGAGTAGTGAAGTTGATGACGTTTGTAAGAATTTTGATGATGTCAGCTGATGGTGGGGAGTCAGAAAAAGCAAAGGCTGATATTTTGTTGAGACGAAAGAGTTCATTTATGGAGACGTTGAAGGTACCAGGGTTGGCTGCATTGGCTAGATGAGCGTACATCATGCCATCATGCAGTACAACACCTCTGAAGGAGCCGCGTCAGGAAGTGGAGATAGAGAAGTGCTGGGTGGAGATGGTTGTTGTGTTGCTTGTAGGATTTTCTTGGTATCCATCTGCAGTTTAGTGATGGCGGCGAATGTCGGCGATTTCTGGCTGTTCTTCTTCTCATCGTCTTTTATCTTCTGAGAGAGTACTTCCTTTCGTAGAAGACATGTTGCTGCAGTTGAGGCAGGTAGGAGTGGTAATGGTGGTACATTCTGTGAAGTTATGGCCGTCTTTTCCACAGTTGGTACAGTACTTCTTTCCTTTCAGGGGACAGTCAGGCGTCGAGTGGTGGTACGAATAGCAGGTCCAGCTTGGGAAAACATGAGCAAAACGTTCTGGCTCGATGTGTCTGGGATGGATGTAATAGTGAGAGATGGATAGGCCATCAGACAGTGCTTTGTAGCCATATCGTTGTCGGAGAATGTGATTTTGATCATGGAGGAGGCTTTTGGGATCTTGGTAATGTTGGCAATCGAGGCCCAAGGATTTTGCACCTCGATGGACGTCTTCGGTTCAACATTCGACATGGATACAATGATTTTCTCAAACCGCTTGACAAACACAGAAGGTTGTGCAAGCAGGAATGGTGAAGGAGAGACAGTGAATTGCCGGTCGTTGAGAGTCTTTACTGATGCGTCGTCCAGGAGTTTGGAAGGCTCATTATCGTCTGTGGAGACGACAATAAAGGAGTCCTTCATCGAGTGAATCGCTGTAAATTTGACCTGCAAACAGGTCTTTACAGCGATAGCTAGGGCAAGTTTTGTGGAGTCATTGATAACCCCACTTGAAGGCTTGATCTTTACACGATAGGCAAGCATCGTGAAGGAGTAGAGGCGCTGATATGTAGGTTATAGATTTCCCTCCCCGACGGGGATCGAAGGTCAACATTCGGTCTGGAATGTATATGAATGGTTCAGAGAACCGACATGTTGATAAATTAGACATATGTGCAACTCTTGGGTATCTTTATTGAGGAAACGTTTCGCCACACACAGTGGCTTCATCAGTCCATACAAAGGAAAATCGTGAAGAGCAGGAGGAGAATGAGGTAATCAGTCCCTCAACCTTGAGTCGATGTGGTCAGTCCATCAATTGGAGTTTTATGACTCTCTGATCGAGGGTTCTATCCCCGCAAGTGATGTGATTTGCAGTTACTTTACTTGCAAGGAAATAATGTGGAAATACCATTGGTACCCTTATACACAACATACTACTTATACATATATATATGGTGTAGTCTACCCTGACACGTTGTATGAGCTTATAACTAACTATACAGCATATGAGCGATGATGTCCTTTTTAGAAGACAGTGTAGTCAGCAGAGGAGTCGGACAAGTCGATAGGTATGTCAGTGTCACAGAAATGTACTGCTGTCGTAGGTCTCAGACCATAGGTATGTGATTGGACAGGAGGACAGTCATAGGTCATATTAGCAGAGGTAGGAATAGTAGAAGGGTTGTTGCTAGTGTCAAACTGGTTGTTTTATTTAACCGCACGTTCCTCCATGTGGTAAAGGAGGCTGTATAGCAATTAAATGTTGCTTTTTTTTTTGTTTACCGTCCGATTTTCTCCAGTTTTGGTGCACAAGACAAAGTGTTTTCAATCTTCTTGAAAATATTTATCAAAAATATACCTCAAACAACAACTGAGAAAAGACTGAAAAAGGACTGATTTACTGAAAATGCCCTTTGGCAGGTCACTTCTATATGGGACGACGTAAGGTTGTTTGGACACTTGGTGCCGAGACAACAATGCTGATACGAATTTGTAATTATTACCTTTCCTCTAAATAACTTATCTTTATTTCACAAAAAAATAAAGTTTGTTAGTTCTTGGAATGTTACAAAAAATCTGCCCTTTACTCCCACATAACTCCCAAAGTATTTGGAATATTTCCAAAAATGAATAACTACTAATTAGAGAAATCATTATTCTACAATTTCTGTGAATATTATTACATTTAATTAAGCAATAAAGGCAGGCTATGTACCGTAAGGTGAATAAGTTACTTCCGAGATATTGGCCCGGAGCGCCGGCCGGCCCACCGTCTCAAAAAAAAAAAAAAAATTCGCGAAAATCGCGTTTGTTTGGGTGTATGTCTTAGTAAACTGATGTTCTAATGCAGTTATCCTCTTCAAAACACCGTTTTCTCTTACTCAGAGACCAAAGAATACGACATGGAGACGACATGAGAGTAGTAACTCATTTATATCGAAGTATACCCGATGGTCTCTCGCTATATTATGGCTTATTTTATTCAGTCTAGAGTATATAACATGTTTGTATGTTATTTATAATGTTACATGTGGTAAAGGTGAGCTTCTTTAATTGTTCCTGTGGCAATTTCCCTCACCTCGATCTTGTTGCTGAGGAGCTGTCTGAGGATACGGTAAGAACCAACAAATTTGGGAACTAGCTTATACATACCAGGGGTTTGCGTAATATTTCCCAACATTACCTTGCATCATGGTACAATCTGACTTTCCTTAACAATAGCATTATTATTAAATGTAAACCTATCCGTTGCTTTCTCGATATTTCCTCGTACTCTTTGCAAACCAAGTTGTGAAGTTCACATCTTATTGACACTGACATTATAAGTGTCATAGGCTGAATCTGAGCAAACATACCACTAATCATAGCCAAACAATGATTAGTTGGATGCTTTCCAATTGGACTGCTGTATGAAGATTTTAAAGTACTCTTCACATCTGGAATGGCCTCAAACCATGTGTACAACTCGGACTGATGGTCACTTTGAGCACCTCTAGGAGTTAGCGATTTATACGTTCAGCAAGGCGGGATGGCGTGCGGCCACTGGCGCTTGATGTATGCCAAATCTAGAGCCACGGTGCATGCGGACAGTAGCTGCACGTACTGTGGCATTAATGAACTCCGACCCATTGTTCAACAGGAGGACACGTGGGCACGTATAACGGAGGACAATATATCCTGTGAAACATTTGCATGTCTTGGCGGTTTTGTCAGGAATGGGTACTAGCTCACAGTACCGTGTCAAGTTATCTGCCATCACAAGCAGGTGTTTATTACCCTTCTCCGAGGTGGAGAAGTTCGTCAACAGGCCACCAGGGCTCCTTTGTAATGGGATACTTGAAAATGCCATTAGGACCGATAACGGCACCTTTGTGTTGGAGACAGACATCACATTCAAGCGCAGCCAGCAGCAACACATTTTGCAATTTCCATTGCCACTTTAGGCCAGAAGTATTTCATTCCTGCCTGTCTGACGCTGCAGTCTTGACCTGGATGCACTGCTCCTGGGACGTCGTGGAGCAACCTCAGAGTTGCTGGTATTAGGGATTGTGGGATCAACAAATGGTGTACGGTTGTTCAGCCAGCTTTGCCACTCAGCACAGCACTCCTTGGTTAACAACTAAGTCCATCAGTGGCACAGGTGATATAACCTACAGGCCAGCAGCCTCCATGGTCAGGAATCGAAGGACTGGTGACCACACAGGGCCCCGACGTTCAAAGTTTATTCTCTATAAGGATTACAATGTGAGATTAAGACACATGTGTAACATCTGGGTATCTTTATTGTAGACGTTTCGCCATCCAGTGGCTTTATCAATACAAATTCTAGGACATAACTTGAAGACAGTAGAACTATGTACAGAAGATGAGGTAATCAGTCCCTCAACCTAGGAGTAGGTGCGAAGAGCACCATAGTCGTGGAGATTCTGAAGCAGAAGAAAGGAGCCTGGTGCTCTTCGCACCTACTCCTAGGTTGAGGGACTGATTACCTCATCTTCTGTACATAGTTCTACTGTCTTCAAGTTATGTCCTAGAATTTGTATTGATAAAGCCACTAGATGGCGAAACGTCTACAATGAAGATACCCAGATGTTGCACATGTGTCTTAATCTCATCTTGTCGGTATTATATACCATTCGTACACAAGGATTACAATGTTGAATTTACAGAATTTCAGAATTTGGTGATTGTGTGGTTTACATGTAGTTAAATAATGATTACAGAGTGTACCACTAGAACGCCTAGCATGGCTAGGCATTTCGGCAGACTTAGTTTAATTCTTTATTTTAAAATATTACAAATTATGAGGTAAGTTGGTATTATGGCTAAGTGACTAAATACTAGTTTGTGAGTTTAGCAATGTGAATGCTTTTGGTTTGGCACAGTACATAGTTTCAGTATTAGAGTGTCATAGGATTCATTATTTTAGATTGAGATTAATATTTCTGTTTAAAGGTCAAATGGGTGAGTGAGTGTAAGTGTGAACACCAGGTGGTATTCGTTTTAGTTAGTTGATGGGGTGTATCAGGGAGATAAGATGTTTTCTAATGGTAGTTTTAAAGGTGATGAATGTGTCTGCAGTTCTAGAGTTCTCAGGTAGGGTTTTTCCAGATTTTTAGGGGCCCTTTTACATACAATTGAATTTTTGTAAAGGTTTAGTCGGACACGGGAATGTCGTTTGAGATGTTTGTGTTGGTGTTATGCCTGTAGGTTCTGTCAAAAACTATCAAGAAGCGTTTTAGGTCCCAAGGTTTTAATTGGAGTTTAAGGTCCGTAGATGTAGATTGCCAGTAGTAAGTGTGGATGTACTGAAAAGGAGTAAGTTTAGATCTATGAAGAGTGGGGGGGTGTGTTGCCAGGGATGGGATTTAGTGATTATTCTTATTGCAGCTTTTTGTTGGGTTATTATTGGCTTTAGGTGTGTTGCTGCAGTTGATCCCCAAGCACAAATAGCATAGGTGAGGTATGGATAAATAAGTGAGTGGTATATTGTGAGAAGGGCATTTTGCGGCACGTAGTATCGTATCTTGGAGAGGATCCCAACCGTTTTGGATACTTTTTTGGTTATGTGTTGGATATGGGTGCTGAAATTCTCAATGTCCTCAATGGAAAATGAGTTGTCTGCACTTACCAAAGTCTCGACAGGGCATCGGCAATGTCATTTTGCTTACCAGGAACGTAGCACATTTCTGGGTTATAGTTTTTAAAAGTGAGAGATCACCAAGCATGCTTTCCCGAGAAATTCTTATTTCCAAAGAGAGGCAACAATGGCAAATGATCTGTGTAAATCTTGATGGGATACTGGTAAACAATGTCTCAGAAATGGTTCAGAGCCCATACAATGGCTAAGGTATCTAATTCCGTCACTGAGTAGTTAGTTTCACCTTTGGAAAGAACATGACTTGCTTGAGCTATTGGCTATTACTTACCATTGGACTGTTGCTACAAGACAGCACCAATGCCAACTTTGCTGGCATCCATCGTCAAGGTTAATTCCTTGGTTGAGCCAGGAAATTTAAAAACCACAGCAGACGTTAACATGTTAAGAGTAACAAAGGTTCTTCCGTTGTCACAAGTCCACTGAAAGGGCACATCCTTCATAAGAAACAGGGTGAAAGGTGTAGTCCAGGTGGAAAATCCAGCTATGAAGATACAGTAAAATCTGGAAGGAGTGAACAATGTCTACTGTCATAGGTCTAGGGAATTTCTGATCAACAAAGAGTTTGGGCTCGTCTCCCTTTATGCCATTCTGGGTTATTACATGGCCCAGAAATGTTCTTTCTTGAGAAACTGGCATTTAGAGAGCTTAACCTTGAGACTAGCCTCAGCTAATTTTTGAACTATCTATTCAGGTTTTCTAAGGTGCGTAGGTACATCTTGAAACATCACAATGAGATTATCTTGATAGACCATTAGTGTGTTACTAAGGAGAGTACAGAGGTTGTCGTCATCAAACAACTGAATGTTATTGGGCTGCTCCTCCATACCAAACCTTACCCCCTAGCTTCAATAACACTCCCATCAAAATCATCGACTGATAATGGCCAGTTGGCATAGAGAATATTGTCAGTTCTTTACTTTGATCAAGAGAAATGTAACAAAAACCTTGTAAAAGGTAAAGTGTCAAAAAATTTTTATTGCTAATGTTCTGTAACAGGTCATTCAGAACTGGCAAAGGGAAATGATCAGGGATTGTACATGCATTAAATTTCCTGTAGTAATTACAGGACGCCGTGTCCCATCTTTTTTAGGAACAAGAATGAGCGAAGCATTCCACGGGGAAGTGGAATCTACAATAACTTCATCATGTAGCATTTTAGTTAAGAGTTTTTTAATGAAAGCTCTTTGCGTATGAGGCAAATGATAAGCTGGCATGTAAATAGGTTCAGTGCCTTTGTCCAGAGGACTATGGGGTCAAACCTATGGTTTCACTCTCTAGTGTTGCTGCAGAGCGAGCACTATTGGGAAATTCGAGAAATCTAGGGACTTCATCGGGGAAGTCTGTCCGGGTATTGGAATATTCGGTACCAGACTCGCCTGGGAGGACTGTATCTGCAAACTGGTCTGCTGGTATTTCACCTTCAACGCTTACAGGGAGAGGAAATCTGATGAAGGTCTATTAGTGTGGTATTCTTCCTCAGTGTAAAGTGTAAAGAGCGTTTACGACGAGAACCTGCAGCTTACCACGTCTAACAGTGTACAAGGATGGTTCAAAGGACACACCCTTGACTCTGCACGTATCGCTGTCAACTAACCTAAGGTCTCCTTCAAAAGTTTTGTTCACATACACCATAAATGGAGTGAGCAAGTTAGCTGACAAAGTGATGTCATACGTTGTACAGGGTGTAACTTTACTCACTGAAGCCATGACGTGAGTCAGCTAAATGCCTGTCGTCAGGGATACTGTGGATTGATTATTAGCAACGTCTTGAGTTGGAGTTAGAGCAGAGGTTAGAATGAGCATCCTCAGATTGAGGTGAAGTGACACAAACTCTTTTACGAGGTTGGTCAGAACAAGAGTCCAACCTAACAGAACTTGCTGCTGCGGAAACTCTCTCTTTCAGACTTATCGGACACTGGTCATATTCAGAGACTGACAAAATGTGGGTCCTGTGTGTATACTACAGAAGGGCACATCAAAGGCACTAAAAGTCGCTTTCTAGTCAGTGGATCTAAGTGAATCTTGAGGTCATTCATTGTCTTGAGACAAATGAGCAAATTACCGGGGAAGACAATGTTATCAACCACTAGAAATTTTGCCCATAATCATTCTTCCCTGTACCGTCAGGGAACTACCCGAGACACTAGTTAGGGTTCGGATTCTTATGGCTCGGTCAACATGACTGCATGCAGGCCATTGTCACAGACGTAATTAGAACATGCAATATTCACAAGTGAACCTGTATCAAGGAAGAACTTGCCAGGTTCGTTACTAAAGGTGGACTCAAATGGAGGTCCTCTAGGGTTGTCATACCAAACATGCAGACATGCAAGTTCATCCATGTCATCAGGCATAGCTTTGAGTGGCTTGATGCTTTTTGACAAGGTTAGACGTTTTAGTACTGGCCCTGTCACCCTCGTCAAGGCACTCATCATCTGATTTTCCAGCCAGTGTGCCGTCATTGAGAGCAACTCCGTTAAAGTGACTACCACTGATGTGTGTACTGTGGGCGCAAGTCTTCCCCTGAACTGTGGGAACGACTTCCACTACCGTACCCATATTTGTTTCTTACCCTGTTTTGCCTTGGGCCAACGGATGCTATCAGTAGCATCCCCCGATCTGCAGCTGGGATTGGCAGATACCAAACGATGCAGGGTATACCACTTCCAAGGAATGACCCGTAGATTCATGGTACATGCAATACAAGTCTCAGTCCTAGTTACTGGAGGGGCTGCAGTCATACGGTTTGGACAATTCATGATGTGAATTCTTACCTTTTCTCTTAGCAGAGAGAGACCCGGACAAAGCCTAAAGTCAGTAATCAACCAGCTGGGCTGTGGTTCGTACAGTAGGTTATGTGTGGCAAGCAGTAACAGCCTGGTTGATCAGGTCCTGATCCACTGAGAGGCCTGGTCAAGGCCCCTCACATACCTCACCCAGACTCAAAACTGGCTCTTCCTCACTCCTACAACATGTTATACCTCCCTGCCCAATGCACAGAATTACAACCTCCCTATCTTCATTGTATATTATATATATATATATATATATATATATATATATATATATATATATATATATATATATATATATATATATTATATATATATATATATTATATATATATATATTATATATATATATATATATATATAATATATATATATATATATATATATATATATATATATATATATATATATATATATATATATATATATATATATATATATATATATATCTGTGCATTGGGCAGGAAGGTATAACATCTTGTAGGAGTGAGGAAGAGCCAGTTTTGAGTCTGGGTGAGGTATGTGAGGGGCCTTGACCAAGAAAAATCTTAAAAACTTCATCAGTTCTGTACACATTTGGCTTTATTTTCCATTGTGTTTCTTAATAGTTGCAGTTCCTTCAATATTTTCTTCTCAGTTTAGAAGGCTTAACCTAAGATCGGGCGATGGATGAAGTAATCTTCGACACCATTAACCCATATATACTAATAAAGATTATTTTTAAGGTAGCGTATTTTTATTATTAGGAACTTCTCCAGAACTACAGATTTTCCCAGCACGTTTTCATGCGTTCTTCTCCTGCCAGATCCAAGGTTATTCACCACCTACCTGACAGTGGTGGACACAGACTACACCCAGTACGCTGTACTCTACGAGTGTACAACAATGATGTTTGTGCGCCGCTACACAGTGCGCATACTCAGTCGCCAGCCCACCCTGGATGCTGTTCTCCTACGCCAGCTTCCTCTTGTTGTATTACCTGATCCATAG